TATATATATATATATATATATATGAAAATGAAACAACTTTAATAGTAGACTTTACACTGATTTATTAATAACGCGGATATTTCTGCCACTCCTGTGGCCTTCATCAGTGAGAATATCGCTGATGAATCAACATTTTATTGATCAACCATTATATTTTTGACATATCCTGAGGTTTTTAAATATTGTATCCTTTTATTGTAGTCTCTGAATATATTTTGGATTTTTATGCCTTGTCGTTTTTATCCAGTTTTCTACCTCATTTCTAACTTTTTATACCTTTTTATGTTGTATAGAACACAATAAAGAGAACTTACCTTTCAGCTTCGGAAACAGTACTAAATGACGGCTTAAAATTCACCCAACAATCCTCCGACGTTAACATGAATTTAAGATTCCATTAAATAACCGTTCTAGAGCATGCGTTTTTTCATTGGCATTAACAATCGGGAAATAAGACCTTAATAGTAGTACTCTTATTATAGTTTTTTGGGGTGGGCGGAGGGAATCAGAATATGTGAGGTAAATGGGTTGTAAACTGAGAACTTTTGTGTGAGGGCGCTGTTTACAAAATGGCCGCCAAAATCCTATATAATACATATATATGCGTAAAATATGCACTTAAGAGGTACCGTAGGTTTGACCAGATTTTAAATATGTTATAATAAGAGTAAAGTGTAAATAGCTAAAGTTATCAATGTGAAGATTTCAGATACAGATACAGACACAGATTAAATGTATTGTCAAATGTACATGAAAATATAAAATGAAATAGTATCGGCTCGAGGGAGGCAATTTTCAAAAAATTAAAGAACTGAAAGAATTGAAAAACCTAAGAGCAGCTTAAATACCCTAAATAAATAGGTTAAATTTACAAAACATGAATGTTATATATGCTGTTGTCTTTTAGAACCCAACGTAACATATGTTATGGTGGTAAGCTACATGACTGCTGACAATAAAACCAAAACTTCCCCCTTTTCCGTTTTGAAGAATGCAAAATATTACTAGAATCCCGAAAAAATTCCAGCTTCCTTACAAATATAGGATGGTTGTTTTTCATTATTTGTGTAACACAAGGTATTCCAGAGGACCACACAAACAACTGCCATAATGTTCGAGTATGAAGAAGGCATTAATTAATTCATTTGTTAAGTATTTGTCCATAATATGTGGTAAATGAACAGTTGGTAAGTACAGTACTTATTTGATATAAACATATTATACGGTATTTTCTTCCCATTCTACATTCTTTGTGACAACGCAGACCTCAACGTCTCTTGAGTAGTAATCTACAGCAAGTAGATATACGTCCCTTGTACTCGACAAAGTCTACCAACCCTACCATGGTAGTTTCGGGAATTCTGTTTCTCTCATTGGATTTGATTCTACTTGATTTTTCCTGTATCTGGCGCACATCTCACAGTTCCTCACAACTTTCTCATGTATCTTGATAGGGGCCTATCCCTGGCCACCGTAATTCCTTGGTGACTGTCACATTGTGCATTACTAATTTCAGAGTGTCGTCATAATTTCGCAGTTTCTTTCCCTCTAAATATCAAGTTTGTGAACTGAAATAGCCGAAAGGCACTCATCTGTGGATATAAAATGTGTTTTTTGATTTTCCCCTGCTTATCTAGTTGCAATTTAAAAACGAAATCTCCACCTCATATCCCACAATCAAAATCCAGAATACGGCGTGTCGACTCTATAGAATGTAGGTTATCTAGATTAGGGCCCATATATAATAACTGGCCTAGGCTATGCCAAGGTAAATTAGGCAAAATTAGACCTGGAGCGAACTATGATTAGATCTAGGCTAGGGCTAACCTACCTATTATAAAAATAGTCAACGTATTCGTATTTTAGGATTATTATTACTGGTTTATTTAAGCATAGGCTAGGCTAGGCCACCTTTCCGATTCGATTTGACCAAAACTAGGCCTAGGCTAGACCTTATAATTATTAATTAGGCTTAAGCCCAGATATGTGTTTGGGATTTGCATACACGTATAAATTATACGACAGCAAGCATCCACACACGTTGTGGGAACGGATGACGAAAACATCTCATCTAAAGCTCAAACCCGAGTTAAATAGAATAACTAGGGTTTAAGCACCCTTTTCAATGTTTACATTAGATGAGCTAATCTTGATTATCACGATTAAGGAGCCTCCTGAGGAGCATCTCTAAACAGATTAATAAGCAGTCCTGTCTTACAAACTAAAAATCAGTAATTGTTACTGATTTATATATGATTTTAGCAGTTCGAATTACGAAAAACTACGGTGGCCCAAATTGTCACGGAAACAACTTTCGAAATGTCACGGCCACATTTTCTAAATTCACGGCAACAACTTTCAAAACCACATGGCACACTTTAAAAAGTCACGGCATACTTACAACTTACAATTGTTCATCCGATTAAAATTGGAAAATTCATAGACTGAGTATTTTATTGTAGTAGCCCGTAAAGTAGTATTACCCTGATTAGACCATTATTGTTTTCATTTTTTTTTCTATGATTACGGCCCTAAAATAAGACAAGCTATAGGCCTATGTATTACTTTACTCTTTGCATTGATGATATTCCATGGATCCTAATTTTGACAAGCAAAATTTCTAGTAAAGTAGTAAAAATAAAAAACGATCATAAGTCTAAACTTCATGCTTACCAGGGCCCACTCTTTGTTTTGAAGATTAGGAATAAATTAATACGTAGTACAGCTGAAATTATGCTTGTCGTGTCGTCACCAAAAGTAGCCACGCTCCCTCGGCTGAAGTGGTTGTTTTAGTTTTTTTTAAGTGGGGGGGGGGGCGGCTGGTAATCACACGGCATAGTAAAATACAGTACCGTACAAACAGAAAGACAAAATAATAAGTTAGCTAGTCTGTGTCCCTGTTTTTTGTTTTTGTTTTGTGTTTTAAATTAGGATCCTGGAATATCATTGTAAAGTAATACATAAGCCTAGCTTGTCTTATTTTAGGGGTAGGGAGGCCGTAATCATAGAAAAAAAAATGAAAACAATAATGGTCTAATCAGGATAATACTACTTTACGGATGAACAATTATACTGGAAGAGACCTAATAAATCAAAATGGGCCTAATAAATCAAAATTACAATTTTTACAACATGATTGCTGATCTTCTTTTCAAGCCATGATCCTTTACTATGGTGCGTCGCCAGTTTGCCCTTTCATAATCATCATGTGTGAGTGTGTTTATGAGTGATTGTTGAAGTTAAGATTTATCATATTTATTGTTTCATTGCCTTTAAACAAAATTGCCATGGCTATAATAGGCCTAGGCCTATTCTAGAAGAAAGGGGTGACGGAAAGTTATTAATAATTAATGATATTAACGTTTCTCATGTCTCCTTAAAAATTTGCCACTCATAGCTCCATCATCCTCTCCCATCATTTCACCACAACCTGAATGCATTGATTATTATAATTTGATTGCTAATCATGCCTTTGTGTTTATATTATTTGGCATTTACAGGCAGATAATTAAGAAAAATGTATATAATAATACAATAATTATAATATACCCAGCACCAAGGGGCATTATTGTTCAGGTGGTTTTTGAGGAGCCAGTGTTTACTGGTAAATGTAGTCCACATTGATGTTAAAAAGTGTTTTTGTATGGCTTAT